GCTGCAGAAAATGACACGGGAGGAGGGTGTAGAGGCATACCTTCTGGCCTTTGAGAGGACAGCCCTACGGGAGGCCTGGCCTCGAGATCAGTGGGCTGGCATCCTTGCCCCATTCCTGTGTGGGGAGGCCCAGAAGGCCTACCATGATCTGCCTGAAGAGGCTGCGGCAGACTACCCTCAGCTGCAAGCAGAGATCCTGGCCAGATCTGGGGTAACGACAGCAGTGCGGGCCCAGCGGTATCAGGGTTGGAGGTACCAGGAAGACAAAACCCCACGGTCCCAATTGTATGACCTCATCCATCTCGCACGAAAGTGGTTGCAAACAGAGTCCCGGAATCCGGAAGAGATACTAGCCGTTCTGGTCATCGACCGATACATGAGGGGACTACCACCAGACCTTCGTGCCTGGGTAAGCCAGAACGAACCCTCCACCTATGATGAGGTTGCCGCCCTGATAGAGAGGCGAAGGACAGCGAAGGAGCTGACCGGACCAGTTAAGGAAGAGGCACCCCGGGTTAAACTAGCAGCACCAAGCCCTAAAGTTCGGGTGACTGGGACACCAGGACGGCGCAGGTAGAAAAAGAGAGAGGCTGAAGGCCCATTAGCGGCCACAAAGAGTCGGAGCACTGAGGGAGAAGAGGATCGTGGTGCTAGACTGCCCAAACCAAGAGACCAGGGAACGCCTACGGCTCCATACAGATGTTATGCCTGCGGGGAGTGGGGACGCATAGCTGCACAGTGTCCCAATGCTGAGGAGCCTATGCAGTGTAACCTGGGGAACTGGGCAGACCCCTGCTCCCTAATCCACCTTGTGGGGGTCTCACTAACCCCACATATGTACACCAGACCAGTGAAACTAAACGGGGTAGGGACCACGGCACTGGTTGATTCGGGGAGTGCTATCACGCTTATCTCAGGGAAGCTCGTGAAGTGTAGTCAGCTGCTGCAGGCTAAACGTACGGGGATAACGTGTCCATGGGACAGTTCGTTACTACCCCACCATCCCAGTAAAAATCGAGATCCAAGGGAACACTACTGAGGTAGCAGCAGGTGTAGTCCCTAAACTCCCATACCCGGTGCTCATAGGGAAGGATTTCCCAGGGTTTGGAAACTTACTCCCAGTAGGGGGATTGGAGAAAGATGGGGACCCTAAAATTGATGAGGCATCCACAGCAGACTGTCAACCCCCAATCTTCTCTGAAATATCCCCCGATTTGTTCTCCACTCCCAGACAGGGTAGAAAGACAAAAAGGGACAGAAGGGCAGCTAAGGCCTTGGGAACCCGAATACTGACCCAAAGCCAGAGGGTCGCTCTTGTAGGTAGGCGGACCCGCACAGCTGAAAAGGAGGCCACGCAGGAGGGAGAAGCACCTGAGTCTGACCCCCACCCTAATGCTTCTGAACCAGTAGAGGCAACAGAGACTGGGTCCCTAGATCTTGGGCAGATTAGCCCCGGGAGAGGAAATTTTGGACGGGACCAGGCAAAAGACCCAAGGTTTGACAACATTAGGAAGGCGGTGACTGAAATAGATGGGGTCCCCGTGGAAGGGAAAACCCAGGGACCAGGACCCTACTTCATAATGAAGAAGGATCTCTTATACCGGGTTGCACCAGTACAGGGGCAGAAGGTACAGCAGATCCTAGTATCTCAAAAACACCAGAACACTGCATTAAGTCTTGCTCATAGTCATCTTTTAGGGGGGCATTTGGGGGTAGAGAAGACCCTGGCACGAGTCCTACGACGGTTCTTCTGGCCCGGAGTACATGAAGAAGTGCGGAGGTACTGTGCGTCCTGCTCGGCGTGTCAGCTGCACAGTCCCTGTCCCCACTTGAGGGCACCTTTAGTACACCTTCCCATCATAGAGGTCCCCTTCGAGCGAATAGCCATGGACCTAGTGGGACCCCCGGAGAAGACGGCTTGGGGCCACCAATATATACTTGTTGTTTTGGACTATGCTACTCGCTACCCAGAAGCCGTCCCCCTGCGGAACACGGCCTCTAAAACTATAGCCAAAGAACTGGTGGGGATTGCCCGAATGGGGCTACCGAAGGAGATATTAACCGACCAAGGAACCCTATTTATGTCGAAGCTAATGAAGGACCGCTGTACGCTGCTCCATATACATACCCTGAGAACTTTGGTCTACCATCCACAGACTGATGGGTTGGTAGAAAGGTTTAACCGAACTCTCAAGGCTATGATAAGGAAGGTGGTAAGTCGGGACGGGAAGGATTGGGACACCCTACTACCCTACCTTACATTCGCTATCCGGGAGGTACCTCAGGCCTCAACTGGGTTTTCCCCCTTCGAGTTATTATACGGGCGTCACCCCCGTGGCATACTAGATATCGCCAAAGAGATCTGGGAAGAGGAACCCAATGAGGGGAGAAATATAACAGAGCATGTAATGCAGATGCAAGACCGGATAGCCCAGGTTACCCCTATTGTACGGGAACATTTGGAGAAGGCACAGGAGGCCCAGCGAACCCATTACAATTGTCAGGCAAAAGTGCGACAGTTCGAACCAGGGGATCGGGTTATGGTGTTGGTACCCACGGCAGAAAGCAAGCTTCTGGCCCTATGGCAAGGGCCCTATGAGGTGGTTGAACCCGTGGGGGAAGTAACCTACAAGGTGTGGCAGCCAGGACACAGAAAACAAGAACAGATTTATCACATTAACCTTCTAAAACCCTGGCATGCACAAGAGGCATGCACAACGGTCCAAAAAGACCTAACCCAGGAAAACAAGCCTTCCAAACAGGTGAGAGTGTCTCCCGATTTAACACCAGACCAGAAGAATGAGGTGTCTGAGATGATCTTCTGGAACCAAGATGTGTTCTCGACAAAACTGGGTCAAACAACCGAGACATATCACCACATCGTCACGAACCCTGGGGCCAGAGTAACAATGAGGCCCTATCGGGTGCCAGCGGCAAAAAGGGAGGAAATAAAAGCAGAAGTTGGGGATCATCGAAGAATCCCACAGTCAGTGGTCCAGCCCAATCGTGCTGGTGCCCAAACCTGATGGCATCACAAGATTTTGCAACGACTTCCGGCGACTAAATGAAGTATCCCAGTTCGACGCGTACCCCATACCTCGCATAGATGAGCTAGTGGACCGTCTGGGTAATGCCCGGTACTTGACTACCCTAGACTTGACAAAGGGGAACTGGCAGATTCCCCTTGCGGAAGATGCAAAGGAAAAGACTGCGTTCTCTACACCAGAGGGTCTTTTTCAATATACTGTCCTCCCTTTTGGACTACATGGGGCCCCAGCTACCTTCCAGAGCCTCATGGACAAGCTATTACGCCCGCATAACAGTTATGCTGCTGCCTACTTGGACGATGTGGTCATTCAGACCCCAGACTGGGAAACCCACCTGGAGAAGGTGGAGGCAGTCCTCGATACCTTCAGGCGAGCTGGCATTACAGCAAACCCTGCCAAGTGCGCTGTAGGGTTTACAGAGGCCAAATATCTTGGCTACATTGTGGGAAAAGGTTTGGTAAAACCCCAAGTGAACAAGTTAGAGGCCATCCAAAATTGGCCCCGACCAAGTCACAAGAAACAAGTCCGGGCGTTCCTAGGTGTGGTGGGGTATTACCGACGATTTATCCCTCACTTTGCCACAAGGTCAAGCCCCCTGACAGACCTAATGAAAGCCCGTGGACCTGATCTGGTGAGATGGTCTGACGCAGCAGAGGAAGCATTCACAAACCTACGGACTGCCCTCTGCAGTAACCCCGTACTGATAGCCCCTGATTTCACCAAGGAGTTTATCCTGCAGATGGATGCATCGGAAGTAGGGTTGGGAGCCATTCTATCACAGATGGTCGGGGAGGAGGAACACCCAATTCTATACCTCAGTCGGAAACTCCTTCCAAGGGAACAAAAATATGCAGTGGTGGAGAGAGAATGCCTCGCTGTAAAATGGGCCATGGAAACATTGCGCTACTACCTGCTCGGGCGCAGATTTGTCCTCATGACCGACCATGCCCCTCTTCAATGGATGCAGCGGAACAAGGAGAAGAACACAAGGGTGACCAGATGGTTCTTATCCCTCCAACCTTTCCAGTTCCATGTGCAACACAGAGCAGGGAGCCGTCATGGCAACGCCGATGGCTTGTCTGGCGTCCCAAGCTGCCCAACCCCTTGGCGTTGAACAGGGGGGAGGGATATGTGACAGACCCAGACCAGTGGGATACAGGAGTCTGGTAGAGGGCAAATATACTGGTCACTGGATGAGTAGTTTTCTGTTCCCTGAGTCACCAGAGCAGGGGCTGCACTAGAGTAATCGGGAACCTGCTAGAACCAATTCAGGCAGGCTAATTAGGACACCTGGAGCCAATTAAGAAGAAGCTGCTAGAATCAATTAAGGCAGACTAATCAGGGCACCTGGGTTTTAAAAAGGAGCTCACTTCAGTTTGTGGTGGGAGTTTGAGGAGCTGGGAACAAGAGGCGTAAGGAGCTGAGAGTGAGAGGGTGTGCTGCTGGAGGACTGAGGAGCACAAGCGTTATCAGACACCAGGAGGAAAGTCCTGTGGTGAGGATAAGGAAGGTGTTTGGAGGAGGCCATGGGGAAGTAGCCCAGGGAGTTGTAGCTGTCATGCAGCTGTTACAGGAGGCACTATAGACAGCTGCAGTCCACAGGGCCCTGGGCTGGAACCCGCAGTAGAGGGCGGGCCCAGGTTCCCCCAAACCTCCCAATTGACCTGGACTGTGGGTTCTCCCAGAGGGGAAGGTCTCTGGGCTGTTCCCCAACCCACATGGTGAATCTCTGAGACAAGAAAATCCGCCAATAAGCGCAGGACCCAGCAAGATAGAGGAGGAACTTTGTCACAAACCCCACTCCTGGACCGTTAGTGTAGAATGTGGATTGACTGAAGGAAGCTTCCTTCCCATGATCTACTGCAACATACATAAAGGAGATACCAGTCCCATGGGCTTTAACTATATCCCATTTTCTGCCATCTCTCACCGATGAGGTAGCCTGGCACTTACCTGTGGGAGGTGAAGTTGTCATATGAACCCACAGTGTAATGTCGGAAGAGACGCTTTGTCCTGTCTTCTCTCGTTTCTGTAAGAAAAAAGCAGAGATTTCTCATGCTGCTGAAAGATGGGATCAGAACCATCTTCCTGAAAGTATGTGACTGTGTGAGCAGGCACGCACATGCTCCTCTACCTGCTCCCTCCAGGTACATGTCTACACAGACACCCATTCGTGTATACATACTCCTCTTCATCTCCATATGTACCCACACAGACTCATTTGCAGAGATCCCACATGCATATTCCTCTGTCCCAGAAAGTGTTCATACACAGACACGCATGCACTCGTCACTTCTCAAAGTGTCTCTAAACACAGATCCACATGCACACAACAGAAAACAGTTTTCTACAAGGACTTTTCAATACGGCGTCCAACCTACTGATTGACAAGCACCAAAGGTTTGTCCCAAAACGTATTGAATGTTCAGAAACCCACACGGAATAAGGTGCAGGTGAGAGACACTCTCATATGCCGTTGATCCAGCTTCCACTGATGTCACTGGGAGTCAAACCAGACCCTTAGGTCTGGAGTTTAAGTTCGAACACATTTGGTGGATGTAGAAACTGTTGCAATAAAACACCCGTGGCTGGCCTGGGCTCAGGCTGAGGTCTATAAAATTGGAGTGCAGACATCCAGGCTTGGGCTGGAGCCTAGTCTCTGGGGCCGGCTGCCTTGTGGGGCCCAGAGCCCAGGCTCCAGCGCAAGCCCAAACATCTACACTGCAATTTCACAGGCCTGTAGCCCGAGCCCTGTGACCCTAAGTCAGCTGACATGGGCCAGCTGCAGGCGTTTTATTGCAGCGCGGACATGCCCATAGATTCCCAGGCCAGCAGGGACCACTGTGATCCTCTCGTCTGACCCCCTGCACAGCACAGGCCAGAGACCTGCCCCACAATAATTCCTAGAGCAGGGCTGTTAGAAAAAACATCCAGTCTGGATTTAAAAATTGTCAGGGATTTTAAAATTCTCTGTGATCCTGGATGAATTGTTCCACTGGTTAATTACTCTCACCGTCAACAATTTACACCTTATTTCCAGCCTGAATCTGTCTAGCTTCAGCTTCCAGTCATTGGACTGTGTTACACCTTTATCTGCTAGACTGAAGAGCCCATTATTAACTATCTGTTCCCCATGCAGGCACTTAGAAACTGTAACCAAGTCACTCCTTCACCTTCTCTTTGTTAGATTCAATGAGCTCAATCTATGTAGCTTACTACTATAATCATGGTCATTCTCCTGGCTCTTCTCTGACCCCTCTCCAATTCATCAGCATCCTTCTTGAACTGTGGGCAGCAGAGCTCGCTGCTTCTTGTGGAAGACACTGCTACTAAGAGACAAGACCTCAGTCACCTGTGGGAGACGAACGGCCAAGAGATGTGGCTGCAGTACATGCAGGGAGAGGAGGCAATGGGCCAGGGCAGCTCAGAATGCAAAGACAATGAATGAAAGCAACACCAATTAAAACACTTCAGCAGCACAGCTACACCCTAGCGCTTCAGCGTAGCCACTCACTCCAGCCACGAGGGGAGTTCTCCTTTGCTGTAGTTAATCCACCTCCCCAAGCGACGGTAGCTAGGCTGCTGGAAGAAGGCGTCTGTCAGTCTAGCACTGTACACACCGGGGATTAGGCTGGCATGACGATGGCTCTTGGGGGATAGACTGTTCACACCCGAGAGACGTTGCTATGCCGATGTAAGTTTTCAGGGTAGACCAGCCCCAACAAAGCAGATAGAAGTAATAATGCCAATGCTGGTGTTAGTCTAGCAATCGACGGGGCACTCTACGCTGGGCTGCTGCACCTGGTTTTGGTCACCGCACCTCAAAAAAGACCTAACAGAAACAGAGGGCGCAATGAAAATGTTTAGAGAGCTGAAGAAACTTCCCTGCTGGGGAGCTGGAAAAGATATGAACTGTGTTAAGATGTGACATGACAGAGAGATACAAAATGACAGAGAGAGAAGGTAAATCAGCCGCTTCTATTCACCCTCTCTCCTAACACGGTAACTGGAACTCCAATGAAATGCTACATAGCAACAATTTAAAACTATAGAAGTAAACACTATTTTTATTTACACGACCCATAATTAATCTGCAGGACTCGCTGCCGTAAAATGCAATTGAGGCCAAGACGTAAATAGGATTCAAAAATGGATTGATGGTTACACAGAATGAGATCTTCTATGGTTATTTGAGACATGGAGTCTCTAAAGAACAGATATAAACCCTCCTGCTTCGGGGCATAAGCCAACAACCTACTGATGAGGCCTGGAAGAGGCTTCCCCGTGAACAGGTTATTCAGTAAATTGCCCATTACGGAGTTTCTTGCCCCTCCCTCTGAAGTAGCTGGTTCTGGTCACTCTCAGAAACCAGATACTACATTAAAGGAGCACTGGTCTGATCTAACCTAGCAGCTCCCATGTTCCATAGCATGTGTAGGGTGAGGGAGAAGAACAAAACAGATGGGACGGGAGGATGAATTGAAGGACAAAACTAGACAGTGAGAGGTGCTTTTCCTCCACAAAGGACACAACAAACATTTCTTATATTTAAAACACTTAGAAACACACATCTGCTAAATAAGCAGCTGCCTTTGCCTGTCCCAGGGATGCTGAGTAACCAGGAATGGGAGAGGATGTGCTCTGTGCAATGGTGAAGGGGGGCAGGTCTCCAGGATGATCTCGCTGTTAAGATGTGAACTGCCCGATGAACACTTTTATGGTCCCAGTTGTGAGACCAGGGCAGTTAGACCTTTGAGTGGCAGAAGAAACCCCGAGCCCTCTACGACAGGAACAGCCCTGGCCTGACTCAGAGGCGGGGATCAAAAACACGCACTTCCAGGAACAGCAGCCCAGGAATGAGGAGGTCCCTGCTCACCGGTGTGGGGTACCCGTCCCATCAATATGGCAGCTTAGCAAAGAGCTGTACTGACAGACCCTCACAGATCAGAGTCAAACCCTAGCCTCTCCTGTGTAAGCGAATAGGATGTGGGCTCCATCGAGGCATTCACAACTCCAGCTTCCTGCCTTATGATTGTTTCATTAGCGAAGAGTGACGCTGAGTGCAAGTTACATTGAACAAGTGGAACTTCATTAAACCGGTGCACTGCTCTGTACCTCTGGCCGAGTTGCCTCCAGCATTCCCCGTGTCTTCCTTGGGTCCTGCCAATAACAGTCCCTCCACGGAACATGGGCCCTCCGACTCCAGTTCCACGAATCACGATACATCTTCCCTATTTTTGAACATTTTAACAATAAATAAAAACAAATAACTGATGCCCAGACCCTCACCCCATGTCCCTTTGGCCAGAGGTTGCTAGCACATAGAATCATAGAATATCAGGGTTGGAAGGGACCTCAGGAGGTCATCTAGCCCAACATACCCGAGCTGGCGTCTCGTCTGTAACACAGACTCAGCTGCTTACACAGTCTTTGAGATAAATGGTCTTCTCACCAGGTGACCACACCAGAAGTGACCTCTCTCTGTCTCCCTGTCACCTGTCTCTCTGTGGAGTCTCCCTCCTCCCTGCGGGGCTGCCTCTTGGTGGTTCTCTCTTTCTCCATCCAGGGACGAGCTCTGTATTTCTCTCAGCTCTCTCTGGGGGCTGTGCCTGCTGGCTCCTCACAACTCCTTTAGTCCACTCCTGCTGGTGTCTCTCTAATGGCTGGATCTTCACAGAAGTGCCTGTCTCCAAGGCTGGCAGGTCCTTGGCGGATCTGTCGTACTCTAGTTCATGCTTTCTCTGAGTGTCGGCCAGCTCCTCTGGGCGGCATCTTCACCCTTCTGGCTGCAACAGGTCTCCTCTCCTTGATACCAGGATTTTGGTCCTTCCCCCCACCGCCTGTGCTGGCCTGTTTGGTATTCCCGTGTGCCAAAAATGCTAACAAGGGATCTGATCCAGAAGAAACAGCCTCTTGGTTGTTTTCACAGCTGATTCCACCTTACCATTACTCTATGGATGTGCTGGGGAGGAGGTGTTGTGGCCAAACTCCCATTTGTGTGCAAATTACTTGAATTCTTCCAAGGTAGACTGGGGTTTGTCGACTGTTGTCAGTGAATATAGTGTCCGGAATGCCACATCTCATAAAGACAGCCTTCAGTTGTTCATAGATATATATGAACCTTCCCAGGCCAGAAGGGACCATTGTGACCTCCTGTGTAACACTGGCCAGAGAACTGCCCCCAAATAATTCCCAGAGCAGTTTTTTAAAGACAAACATCCAATGTGGATTTAAAAACTGTCAGTGATGGAGAATCCACCACAACCGCTCCAATGGTTCATTATTCTCACTGTCAAAAAACTGTGCTTTATTTTCAGTCTGAATTTCTCTAGCTTCAACTTCCAGCCATTGGATTGTGCTGTAGGTTTCTTGGCTAAATTGAAGAGCTCATTATTAAATATTTGTTCCTCATGTATGTACTTGTAAATTGCAATCAAGTCACCCCTTAACCTTCTCTTTGTTAAGCTATACAGATTGAGCTCCTTCAATCTACTGCTATGTGGCATGTTTTCTAACGCTTTAATCATTCCCGTGGATCTTCTCTGAACTCTCACCAATTTATCAACACCCGTCTTGAATTGTGGACACCAGGACTAGACACAGTATTCCAGCAGCAGTCACACCAGTGTCAAAGACAGATGTAAAATAACCTCTCTGCTTCTCCTTGAGATTCACCTGTTTCTGTATCCAAGGATCACATTACCCCTTTTGGCCACAGCATTGCGCTGGGAGCTCATGATCACTGATTATCCACCATGATCCCCCAAATCTTTTTCAGAGTCACTGCTTCCAGAATAGAGTCCCCCATTGTGTAAATATGGCTTCACTCTTTGTTCCTAGATGTACAAATTTACATTTAGTTTGCCAATCAGAGGCCTGCTTCTTGTATCATGCAGGGCAGCAACCTCCCAAAAATCTGAAAAGTAGTCCACTGTTATCAAGTACTGCTTTTTCTTGGCGGTAAGTAAGCCCACTACCACCTTTTCCTCTGGCCGGGTGGGCAGCTCCTGTGGCAACAGACTCTGCTTCTGCTGGCAGTTATCACCCGACAGGTGGTGTCACTCCCCTCTATAAAGCTGTGAAGTTGGGTATTCAGTCCCAGCCAGTAACTCACTCACAAGCCTGTCTAGGGTAGCTGTCAATGCCTAGGTGTGAGGTGTGTATTTTTTGCACAACATCCTTAGGTAATGAGGTGGGACAGCAGATTTCTGTCCTCGAAATATCATTCCATCTTACACACTCAACTCATCTTTAATTTGAATGTAGGATTCTACTCCTACAGTACCTGGATTTTGTCTTCTGGCCACCTGCTAGTATCGCTCTCTTGACTGGCTGTAGTTGGGTGTCCTTTTCTGTAGCCTCTTTGGTTTCCATCAGTTTCACTGCTGAAACTGGAGATTGACTCCATTAACACACTGCACTATGTTCTGATCCCCTTCCCCCAACTCACCAATGCTGGGTCTATATGCCCAGCTCGGGCTGCCAGCTAACTCCAGTAATCATCCTGGACAAGATCTGAGCTCTCCCTGGTAGTGCTGGAGGTGCATCCACATGTGCTGCAGTCTCTGTGGAGCACTTTGCCATGATTATCTCTAGCGATTTGTGGTCTGATGGCACTATTGCTGGGCAGCCATAGGGGCACTGATGGAATTGCTCCACTCCAAATGCCACAGCCAGAAGGTCTTTTACTATTTGGGCATTCCCTTGTTCTCTCTCTGACAGGATTCAACTGGCTAAGCGACTGGCTGCTCCTACAAAAGAGCTATACTCAATCCAGTTCCCAATTTATCACACTGGAGTAGCTGTGGCTCTCCTTGCTAGAAGTACACTGTTGAAGTCAGATTTTTTCTGGGTTGAGTTTATGTTCTTATCCCTGCATAGCTGCAAAAAAGCTTGTAGTTTTGTGTTGTGGTCTTGTTCTGTCATTACTCCCTTCACCTATGACGAGGATATTATCTGGAATTACTCTCACCCCAGCCAATTCTTCTGGTGCTTGGCTGAGCCGTCTCTGGAATTGCTCTGGTGCTGGGCTTATACCTATTGGCATGCACAGCCACCAGTAGCAATCAAATGGTGTTGCGAAGGCTGTCAGCATGCTGGACTCTGTATCCAGGCTGATGTGCCAAAACCCATTTCCTTACACCATACACTGTAAGGATTCTGGCTTGGGCAATTCTGGCAAGATGTCATCAATGACAGGCAGTGGATAGTGGTATCTTCTCAAGGCCTGGTTCACTGGCATAGGGACTGTGCAGATACATAATTGCCTGATGGCTCCTTTATCACCATCATGCTGCTTACCCAGGCCACACTGGCCTCTGCAGGAGCTAGGATACCCCTGCTCTGTATACGTTCATGCTCCAGGCATGCAGGATTACACAGTGCCACTGGAATTTTCCTCCTGGTACGCACAGATTTCACTGTGGGGCCTACTTCTAGTTGCAGCTTCCCTTACAGGCACCCATTGCCTTTGAAAACATCCCCATGGGCTTTTAAAATTGTCTCCGTTGTCCATGGGAGTGTCCCTTTTGCTTCTTGCACTGCAGTTATAAAGTTCTGATGCTGCACCCTGATCAGGTCCATGGCTTGTATGGCAGTATTCCCCAAAAGGGGAATGCGGCGCTTCCCATCCACCACCACAAACTTCAGCTGGCCCGTCTGGCATTTTTCAGGCTAGTTACTATGAGGTCTCATTCTCCTATGGGCTGCATTATGCTCTGATTGTACATTGTTAGATTGCCACTGCTCTTTTTCTTGGGGGTGATCGAGTACAGTACATCCCAAGGAACCGTGTTGCAGAAGGCCCTTCTATCCAGTGAAATTGCTGTGGCTGTTTCTCAATTATGCATGGAAGTTGGTATCATCCCTTGTTGGTTTCCTGTCCCAACAGCCTGAACAAGATATGCTCTTGGACTGGAGAGAGTCATGATGTCATCACCGCTGGCTGATGTGCCAGCCCGCACTTGTACTCATCTGACTGAATCATTTTGAGACCTTCCTCTGCTCTTGCACACATGGCTAACACGATTCAACTTGCCACATTCCTTGCAATGCCGGCCTAGTGCAGGGCTCGTCTCCTTTATCAGCTCGGGCTGTTTCCCACAGTAAATGCATCTCGCTATGGGATGGAACCCTGGCTGCCTGCTCTCCTTTGCTGTTGTCTTCCTGCGTGTTCTTCTGGGGGTGTCATGCCTCCCAGGACTTCCATCCTTCCTCTTGAGGCTTCCTGCTGCACGCCCCATGTCTAGGCATCTGTCTAGTGTGAGACTGACGTCCTGGAGCAGCCGCTCCTGCACATGGTGATTGACCCTAAGTGCCTGAATTAGGGAGTCCCCAGAACTGCATGTAGCGGCCAGTGTGTGTGAGGCAGTAACCCAGGAGTCTATTCCCTCCCCTTCAGCTTTGTCTCCAGTGAGATACCAGATCCCTTCCACTTTGGGGAGCAATGGGTCCAGGGCTCCAGGATTGCTCTGAGGCAAGTGAGGAGCTTCCGAGTGGTGCAGACATCTCTGCCTTGTTTCCCAATAAGGGAAAACAACAACTTTACTCTCCTGCATGGCCAGGTCGGTGTACAGTTCCACTGGCTCCATCGCTGATCTAGGTTTGTGTCTGCAAAACCCAGGACTTCAGGGGACTTGAGACTGCATTCCAGGGCTCACGCTGCCAGCTGCTGCACTCCAGAGAACGCACAGAGAATGCACTGCTCAGACACTGACACCGTGTTTTATTGGTAATGCGTGAAGCTGAATGAAAGTTAAGCTGAACAAGTGGGACTTCATTAAACTCTGTGCACTGCTCTGCCCATGTGGCTGTTTGCTTCCAGCCCAGCTCCCGAGTTCCCTGTGTCCCATCAATAACAGTCCCTTCAGGGGACATGCACCCTCTGACTCCACTTCCACTGATCATGACACAACGATCCTTCCTGCATCTAGGGAGAATCTGCTGGCTAAATGCTTTGCTTGAAAAGAGGTGGGGCGGTGACTGAAATCTCACAGCAACGTCTTCTTTCGTGGTGTGGACACTCAGGGTGATGCTCCTCTGTGCGCCCCTCCCCCAGCACATTCTTTCCGATCCCCCAGGCATGTGATGCTCTGTGCCTGCTGCCTCCTGCATACCAAACTATGCCCCTCCACCTCCTCCGAAGTGTGCTAGCCGCAGCCATGCATGATCAGCTGTGATCTGTGGATTCCCCATTCATCTCCTTCCTGTGCTAGGAGCTGTGAGCAGTCCCTTGTCCCAGGAACCAGAAGAACTGAGTGATGCAGCAGGAGGTGTCTTTCCTCTGCCCTGTAGTATCTCCCTGTCCCCAGCAGAGGGGAATCTCACCGCACAGTTGAGAGACTTCAGGAAACTCCAAAGCTGGGGCTGCTGTTTAGTCAGACATTTAACCTTCTGGCCTTCCCGTTCTTGTCTCAGCAGCTCGGATAAGCAGCGAGTCTTGATCAAGCAGATGTTCCAAATAGAGCCTGTTATCAGCTAATCTGAGACCTGGGCTGACAGAAGGGCTCTGTCCAGGAAAGCAGATAGATTCTGCCTCCGAATAGCTCTGCAGGGCCTGCATGTAGGTAACGCCTTCTCTGGGTTCCCGTGGTCGACATGTGCCGGGTCAGCATGGGCTGAGCACAGAATAAGACGGTCCCAGCCGCTGTTCTTGTGCATAACGAGCACCTGGACGACCCAGGCAGTAGCTGGGATGAGCCTCGAGAGGGTGGTGAGTGCTTTACAGTCACATCGCTCCATGCTCGTGGTCAGAACAGGGGCTGTACAGTGCAGCAAGCCAGCAGAGCGGGCACCGATGGGGGGCCCGTCCAGGGAGGCCAGCTGGCAGAATGGGCACAACAGCAAATTAACATATCCCACCATACTTACAGACTACAAACACACAGTACAATTTACCGTCCAGTGAGAGAAATGGCGAAAGACCCACATGTGAAAGAGACTAGTCTTGTTACTCAACAAGTTACTGAAAGTGCCCAGATACCACAATGATGGCACAGCATAAGAGCCTAATAGAACATAGACTAGGGCAGATGTGACAGTAATGTCTCATAGGTGGCAACCACAGCAGACACGCATCTCTCTCCGCATCCATCACCCCAGGCATTTATACCACACCCATCTCTATAGCGGCTGAGCAATAGACTGCTATGGCAAGCGTGTAGTGAGGGCACAGCCATGCCCAGGGGGATGCCATCTCGAGGATAAGTGCCCCAAGTCACCCAGTAGGTGGTCGTGAGAACCCAGTGAGAGTACGACAGATCGCAGCAGTGTCCCACCTACACGGTGAGTGCCCTGAGACAGCCAGTGCTCTGGAGCGGGTGGCGAGCGCGGGGCAGGTGCCCACATGCACGGAACCCCAGTGCGAGGGGGAAGTGCACAGTGAGAACACGGCTAACGCTTACAGTGGCCCGGTGCGCGTGACGAGTCTAGAAGAAACAGCCATGCTGTGCTGCTGACATGTGCACACCTGCAGCGTGGTGACGAACTGGCAGGATGGTGCACACAGTGTGCAGAAGATGCGGTGGCGGAAATACTTTGGGTACACTGGGTGCAAAGAGACGGTCAGAGCGCAGTAAGCAGGGCAGGCACCTGGCGCCGTCCCACGTAGGTGGCAAAGTCCACAGTGACAGCCTGGCAGATGCCTGCAGTGGTCCCGCAGGTGCTGAGCGTATCGGACTCCAGCAGTTCCATCCCCGTGACCAGCGTGTAGTGACAGAACTGCAGATCGGCACAGTGCACACGAACGCTCTGCACAAAACCAGCCTTGTCAACTCGGCTGCCATCGCTGTCTGACTCATTATTTTGCCTTCTTTGGTCCTGTTGCTGGGCTCATTAGTGGAAGACATTTACCTAATCCCGAGAGAGACTTCCTGGAGATGGACACAGGTGCGACGGGGGCTGAGGCCGCCACGTGAATCCTCACAGTCCTGTGCCTGGCTGATCCTCCACTGAACCTCGTCCCTGCGACCCTGGGGAAAGCTGGCTCTGAGAGCCAAGGAATTAACAACACGCTTATTGGCAAGAGGTCACTTTGTGTCTGGAGATGAAGATGTTAACAGCTTGCTAGGGTAATAACGCGATGCAAACGGTGAACAGACACCTGCAAAAGGGTTGCTGTTATCCTGACTCCAAGATCACTCACAGTGACTCACCATCCTGCTCACATTCCGCCCTGGGAACAGGTGCCCCTAGGGTGACCTGATATCCCGATTTTATAGGGACAGTCCCGATATTCAGGACTTTGTCATATATAAGCACCTATTACCTCCCACCCCCTGTCCCCTTGCTATCTGGTCACCCTAGGTGCCCCCCTCAGCCTGTATTCCTGGAAACACACCCATGAACTCTGCTAGTGACAGAACATCAAGAAACATGATGCAGCCTTGGATGAAGAAAGTCTGAAGAATTTGCAAGGGGCACCTGGCCATGCCCTCAGAGAAGTGGCTGCACTGGCCATCACAGACTGCCTCCTCCCTCCCCTCCAAACTACTGGGTCCAGAAGTGTCCAGGCAGCAACTGCAGGGATCACGTAGCAGCCTGTTACCAGAAACTCTTCACCAGCGTCTGTCTCTATCTTAGGGGCAAAGTGAGAACATAGGAATGGCCAATGGTACAGCTAGCCCAGTGTCCTGTCTTCCAACAGTGGCCTGCGCAAATTGCTTCAGAGGATATGAACAGAACAGGGCAACTATTGAGTGATCCACCCCCTTGTCATCCAGTCCCAGCTTCAGGCAGCCAGAGGTTTAGGGACACCCAGGGCCTGGAGTTGAGTCCCTGACCTTCTTGACTAACAGCCATTGATGGACCCATCCTCCATTATCTTATCTAATTATTTTTTTAACCCAGTTACAATTTTGGCTTCACAACATCCCCCGGCAATGAGTTCCACAGATTGACCGTGTATTGTGTGAAGAAATACTTCATTATGGTTGTTTTAAACCTGCTGCCTGTTAATTTCATTGTGTTATGTGAAGGAGTAAATAACACGTCCCTATTCACTTTCTCCATCCCAGTCATGATTTTATAGACCTCTATCATATCCCCCCTTAGTTATCTCTTTTCGAAGCTGAACAGTCCCAGTCTTTTTAATCTCTCCTCACATGGAAGCTGTTTCATCCCTCTAATCATTTCTGCTGCCTTCTCTGTACTTTTTCCAATTCTAATGTATCTTTTATAAGATGGGGTGACCAGAACTGCACGAAGTATTCAAGGTGTGGGCGTACCAGAGATTTATGCAGCTGCATTTTATTTTCTGTCTTATTATCTGTCCCTTTCCTAACGGTTCCTAACATTTTGTCAGCTTTTTTGACTGCTGCTGCATGTTGAACAGATGTTTTCAGGGAACTATCCACGATGACTCCAGGATCTCTTTCTTAAGTGGTAACAGCTAATTTAGATGCCATTATTTTGTATGTATAGTTGGGATTCGTTTTTCTAATATGCATTACTCTGCATTTATCAACACTGAATTTCATCTGCCATTTTACTGTTCAATCACCCAGTTTTGTAAGATCTCTTTGTAACTCTTTGCAGTCTGCTTTGGACTTTACTACCTTGAGTAGTTTTGTATCATCTGCAAATTTTGGCACCTCACTGTTTACCTCCTTTCCCAGATCATTTATGAATACGTTGAACAGCACTGATCCCCGCACAGATCCCTGGGAGACCCCACTATTTACCTCTTTCCATTGTGAAAACTGATCATTTATTCCTACCGTTTGTTTCCTGTCTTTTAACCAGTTACTGATCCAGGAGAGGACATACCCTCTTGTCCCATGACTGCTAACTTTGCTTAAGAGCCTTTGGTGAGGGACCTTATCAAAGGCTTGCTGAAAGTCTAAGTACACTTTAACCACTGAATCACTTTTATCCACGTTTGTTGTTCCCCTCAAAGAATTCTAGTAAATTGGTGAGGCATGATTTTCCTTTACAAAAGCCATGTTGACTCTTCTCCAACATACTGTGTTCATCTATGTGTCTGATAATTCTGCTCTTTACTATAGTTTCAATCAATTTCCCTGGTACTGAAGTTAGGCTTACTGGACTGTAGTTGCCAGGATCGCCTCTGGAGTCTTTTATTAAAAATTAGTGTTACATTAGCTATCCTCCCGTTATCTGGTACAGAGGCTGATTTAAGCGATAGTCACATATCACAATTTGTAGTTCTGCAATTTCTTATTTGAGTTCCTTCAGAACTCCTGGGTGAATCCCACCTGGTCCTAGTGCCTTATTACTTTTTAATTTATCCATTTGTTCCAAAACTTCCTCTCTCGACACCTCAGTCTAGGAAAGTTCCTCAGATTTGTCACCTAAAAAGAATGGCTCAGGTGTGGGAATCTCCCTCACATCCTCAGCCGTGAAGACCGATGCAAAGAATTCATTTAGCTTCTCTGCAATGGCCTTGTTTTCCTTGAGTGCTCCGTTAGCACCTCGATCGTTCGGTGGCCCCACTGATTGTTTAGCAGCTTCCTGCTTCTGATGTACTTTTAAAAGATTGCTGTTAGTTTTTGTATCCTTAGTTAGTTGCTCTTCAGATTCTTTCTTGGCCTGCATAATTATGCTCCTGCATTCCCTCTCATCAAGAGCGTGGGGCAAACCTGCAGGAGGAGGAGGAGGCTTTTGAGATGTGCACTATCCTTGCAGCTTCTCTCTATATAACAGACATGTCTAGGGACCCTGGCCCGCTTGGAACACGCTGGCTCCTACAGGTCTTGAGTTTACAATATGACATCAATCATAACCAAGAGGGAGGCCAACAAGAAGGGAGACGAGCAAGAGCCAGGCGGAGAGGGGCAGGGAAGGAGAGAGCGCTGGCAGGGAGAAAGGATGCAGTCGTCTATGGAAGGGGACGGGAGAGGTGGGCAGGCTTCTTGTAACGCAAGGAGATCAAAGCTCCACGGCTTGGGGAAAGCAGAGAGTCTTGTCCAAGGCTGCCCACAAAAGAGCTACCATCGAGGCAGGGGTCTGAGATCCCCACAAACCGCTGGAGTAGGACAGAGTGCAGAGCCCCAGCTGCCCAGCCCTCAGTCTCTATTCCCAGCCCTCAGCAGGCCGGGCATGAAAGTAAACAAGATACATTACAGAATTAGGTGAGAGTGGCACCTGGGGCAGGGCCATGGGCTGGGCATGTTCCCATCTGCCTGGGGTGGGGCCATGGGGTAGGTGTGATCCCCGTGCCAACTTCACCCAACTGCTTGGAGCGGGACCATGGGGTAAGTGTGCCCTGGTCACAGCCCTACCCGGCTGCCTGGGGTGGGGCCATAGGGTGGACATGCCCCTGGTCACAGCCCCTCTTTGCTGCTTTAGCCTAATTGTTAAAAGTTCTTTGGGGTGGGGAGTGGGACTGGAGTCAAACGATCAGCAGTGACTGATGAGAACCAGGCCAAACTGTGGGACATTCAGAATGGAGCTGGCACCCAATGGCCAGACTCCTAGTCCATGGGATAAAATACCCCACCTCTGTGTTTCCTTCTCCATTCTTCTCTCTGTCTGTCCCCAGCTCCTTCCCCAGACTTCTCAAGTCTCTGGCTGTGGTATGCAGGGACCCACTCTTCAGCTGCGATATACTAGTAATCAGTGGGAAGAGAGGACAATGTCTCCTTCGGGACACTTCTTTCCCTCAAGTCTTGCCTGTTCTCTCACTTTGCCCCCCCGTTTATGCGTTGTTGGCCCCCTCTCTTGGCCCTCTGCACTCTCCCCTGCCCCTCTGCTCCCATTTCTTCCTCAGGTCTCTCTCCCGTCTACCTGTTCCCTCATCTCCTGCCCTCCGCTCCCAGACGCGTGTTCCTCATCTGAAAACACTGCTATTGATCTCACTCCAGATCAGAGCAGACAATCGTGATTGCGCGAGGGAGCTGGATTAATGGGCTGTCCGCAGCCCAAAAGCACATTCTCCTCCCAACTTCTAAATATAGCTGCTGCTGAGCCTGTGGTTAATGAAGCCGTCAAGTAGGCACCAGGGACAATGGCTGATGGATGGAGAGAAAAGAGCCACTTGCATATAGGTGTGGAGGGGGGAGCCTCCCAGGACTGGGGCTGAGCCGCCCCCACCCCCCGAGCTCCGCACTGCCCAGGCCAGGGTCAACCCCCCCAGCCCTGTAACGCCCAGAGCTGGAGCTGGAGCTGACGGCGAGCTCCATGCCGCCCTCCTGAGCTCGGGGGCTGACCCCCACCCTTTAACCCCCAGCCTCCCGCAGCTGGGGCTGAGCCCCGAGCTGCCTGGGGCTGAACGCCTCCCCCTCCCCCCGAGCTCTGTGCCTGCTGAGCCCCGTGCCACCTGCAGTTGGAGCTGAGCCCTCCCTCCCCCTGCCCTGGGCCGCCCACAGCTGGGGCTGACCCCCTGTCCCGTGCTGCGGTAGCTGGGGCTGAACCCCCCCCCTCCAAGCTCCGTGCCTCCCCCCGGCTGAGGCTGATCCCCCCTCCTGGCTCTGTGCCACCCAGGTGTCAGCTCTGAAGCCAGCACTGCCCACCGGTTCAGCTGACCCCCAGGCAGCAGCTGTCTCTCTCTGTTCTGCCTTGAAGCCAGGACAAATGCCCAGTTTTGGCGAAGAAGTAGGGACGTCTGGGAGAGAGATGAAAAAGGGGCCTGTCCTGGGCAAAACTGGATCTATCAGCACCCTAGCCAGCCGGGCCCTATTGTTCCCGGCCGGCCCCTCACTCCCAGGACCAACCCCACCACGTTGTGCCCCGTTGCCCCTAGCCGGCCCCTCACTCTGGGTGTATCCCATAGAGAACATGGCCTGGTGAGCTCAGCCTTCCTGCACCAGCCTCTCCTCCCCTGCAGTATGATTTAGATAATGGCACAGAGAGTACACTTATAAAGTTTGTGGGCAATACCAAGCTGGGAGGGGTTGCAAGTGCTTTGGGGGATAGGATTAAAATTCAAAATGATCTGGACAAACTGGAGAAAAAGTCTGATGTAAATAGGATGAAATTCAATAAAGGCAAATGCAAAGTACTCCACTTAGGAAGGAACAATCAGTTGC